ACATTGCTATAAACTAGATTTAGCTATACTCCCTTTTATTTTCTTCATGCCTTAAGTTTCTTTTATTATTTTTAGCTCCCTTTCTTCACTTTGCATAATGCTGCCTACCCCCAAAGGGTAAGAGCAATTGTTATATAATTCAACCAACAGTGGAACAGAATGGTTTTACATCCTCAGCATTAAGAGTTGCTGTTTAATCAAAATGCAAGTCAAAATATATCAGCATAGGAACAATTCCATAAGGTATCACTTATAATATCTGTCCATCCCAATGATACATTACAAGTAGGGCAAAGCTGCCTACACCCAGTTTTTAACCTCCTCCCCTTCCATGCAACCCCTGGCTGATTTCCAAACTTTGCATGAGACATCCCCAATACTTCCATCCAGAGAAAGGCTTTTGTGAAGGGAGTTGTGATGGAACAGGACCATCAATTCTCAACTGTGCAAACAGCTTTCAACTTGTTTCACTTTGGGGTACAACACAGTGTATTATTTCAGATACAACTGCCAGCCTCCAGATAGGCAGTAGAGAAACTGAACTATATAAAATTTCATCTTTTTTTTTTAAAAAAATGTATCTAACTCTTATTAGACAGAAACCAAAATAGAGAACATTGCCTGCAAGCACACAGTGTGTGTGTCTAAATAGTGAAATATGACACATATCTACTCAAAAATAAGCCTCACTGATCTACTGTACTTTCTCCCAGGTAAACGTGTATAAAATTGCAACTTTAAAACTCTCTGAAAGTAACTTTGGTTAATTTTGACAATAGCAAAACCAATCTGTAAAGATCAGAAACGCACACACTCCACTCACACATGAAAAACATGCCTGAAGAAGACATCTCTGTTGTACAGAAAGTTTCAACTAAATACACATCATAAAAATCACAGCAATATATCAAAATTTTTGAAAACAGCTGCCAAAGTAGGTATAAGGTGTAAAATCACCCTGCCAGGTTTTAATTGAACTTAGGTTTGAGACTGAGTACAATCTATAATTTTTATTATTTTGTATCTCTTTCTGCAAGGAAAGAATCGTTTTTTCAATGCAATTATCCATTACTCTTATGAACAAAAGTTTTAAGGAGCAAAAGGGAGGAGATATAACCGAGGAAAAAGTATGAAGAGGAACCATCCATGAATGGCTGCTATCTATATGAATGAAGTTTTATTCTAACAAAGTAACCTTACAGCATTTTGCCTGTTGAAAATCACAGGTGCCTCATACCTTAGATTTCCTTGTTTGAACATGTTGTTTGTGTCACCTGTATATTAATTTAGCGCTCAGTATCGGGGATCCAATGATACAGTGCTACACTGGACCCAGGAAAGTGTAGTTAGTATCACATACAATTCTGTGAGATAAAGATGCAGGTCACAACCAGCAGTTCATATTCCTACTTAAAAGATTTCAGTGACTTAGGATAACGTTAAAAGTTAATTAAGCACATCCAATCTACTAATGCAATCTATTAATAATTACTATATACATTCCTATGATGACCCATGTTTCCTGATCTCTGTACTTCTATAGCTAAAGAAACAGATATAGTTATAAACATTTACACACAAAGATACTATACATACACTTTTTACAGCAGCTTTCCTGTTTTCCCATATCTTTACCCAGTAATCCCATTCTAACAAAGTCCAGCTTTTTCTTGTGAAAGTATGTCTTTTGATGACTCTGCTATAAACAAGAAAATCTAGGAGCCTCTCTTAACCTTCTACATACCATAGGTCCATCACTATGGGTATTAAGGCAGAAGGCAAGGCAGACCTCTGATTAGTCCATTTTAAATTTAAAATGAGCCTGTGTTGCTATAGGAAACTAAGTGGTATGTTGTACTGGCTGAGGTTTGACATAGTAGGGAAGAAAGTATACAGGAAATAAAAAAGTCCGCATAATCTTCTAACCACCAAAAAAGTATATATGTATGTTCTGTCTCACACATCATTCCATTCACCATAGATTAATTAATGGCTTTTCAACCACTACCCTGCATTTTACTAGAAAGATTATTATCTCCAATCAGTAGGACAAAGCAGGCCACTTAATGCTTGTGATAGTAAAACAGCCAGATGGGTCATCCATCTGTCTTGCTTTTCCCTCTCATTCCTTCTCCCTTCCTCTTTACATACTTACAACTTCTAGAAGCCTTTCAGGACTGAAGAGTCTGAAGAAACAAAGCACCAAAAAATAGGAATGGGCCCAATTTTTGTTTTTGCTAGGCAGTACTTTGAGAAGATGCTTGAATGCAAACAGGCAGGGTAGCAAATATAAGAATAGAGCTTAAAACAATCAAACAGGGCAGGGAGATTCTTTAAATAATGTATAATTCCTGAGAAGCAAAAATGTCTGCACATGTCTGACAGCCTGGTGTTTTTTTATTCAGCAGTGACCATACACTCATGAACGCAATGCCAAGGATTTGGGAATCTTACGCTTTCATGAAATTAAATGTTTTGTAAAAGTCTCAACATAGTAAATGGGATATTCTTTAAGATTTGGCTGTAGCTAGGTACATCTGAGTTTTTCATTTCTTCCAGGTTTTCTGGAATCCTAGCCACTGTTATTCAAAGGCTAGAAAAATAACTATATCCAAAATATTTTCTCTCTCCTCCTGGATCCCTGCCACTAATGGAGTTTTTAAAAATTATTTAAAGCTAAAAAACGACAATCAAATCCTAACAGCAAACTGCAAATCCCAAATTTGGCCTGAAAAGATGACATAAGCCTGTGAAGAAAGAAAACTGTGATAAATAAAAGTTGAATTCATGAAAGTCAGGCAATGGAAGCTGTATTCTTCTTACAGTTCTCTGTGCTGTAGGTATGAATAATCATGTGGAAATCAGCACAAATGTCTACCACATTTTCACTGGTGTGACTGTGTCATGGTTTGACCATCATAGGCACTATTTGGTTTTTCTCATCTCACTAGGTAATCCTCCATTTCCTGGCCATAATTTGCACTTTTCAAGCAATATGGCATGTTCTTGAGGAAAATGCCAAAGAGAGGAAAACTTAGCATGTAAAAAAGAACATAAAACATGTTCTGAGATCACAATACCAAACTAAGGGACAACCATACTGTCTGAGTAGGATCAGGACACAAGATAGCAAATTTAATATAGCAGAGCGTGCTCAAATTCCTATTCAACTATGACTTTCACAGAATTGTTTTTATCAAGTCATTTGCTTACACAACAATTTAAAGACTGAATTCATATAACACATTAATCAGTATATGGCTTGTCTTTGTAGTTTAGGAGGTTGTGTGAATCTTGCCACTATGACTTACAATTGACTTATAGCTTAGCCTGTTGTGTAAATCCAACCTACTATGGTTGTCTCAATAAACTACAGCACAGCCTGCACATTCCCAACTAATAGGGAATGTTAGAATGATAAAAAGCAAATAAATACTATGAACATCAACCTGGGGCCATTGAAGGGTAGTACACACATATAATATTAAAATTTGTATAAAATTTCTTTTAAAGAAATGAACATAATTGCTAGGCATGACAATGGTATAAATGTGTGTTAGAAACAAGACTATATAAATTTATTAAAAGACAAATATAAATTGAAATGTTTGCAGATACATCTACTTGAAACAGTGACTTTTATTTCTAATTTTAGAGATACTTAAGTCCTTTTTATGAGGTGAATCACACAAAGGCATCACACGATCAAGCTACAATCAAGATATGTCACTAGCCCCAACCAGCGAGATGTCACAGCCTCCTTGTTCCATAAGTAAAATCAATGTGTTAAGTGTGGACTTCTACATGGAAGGTTTTATACAAGTAATACTCAACACATTCTGGAATTGTGCACCATTTGTGTTCCACAACTGTTTATAGCATTTTTTTCTTACTGATGGCTGCATACCCTCAGATGTAATCTTTTGGGAGCTTCATTATGGGCAGAGCTGAAGTAAAGAACAGCTTAAAATCCAAAGTGTGTGAAGAGACCAATTCTCCCTCAGACACTCCCTTCCCTCTCCCTCCAAAGAAGCAGACTTCAGAAAACAAAAGATGCCTCTTACCAGATGCCTGAACTAATCTCTTACAGAGAAAGACTAATCTACACCCTTGGGTTTTCATAAAATGGAACCAGAAAGCTTTACAAACACAATAGTGAGGTCACTAACAGGGTCTCATTATCTTCTGATTACACTGAGTTCTCGTCATGTGATTCGGTGAAAAGGGAAGAATCTGTATTTTTATGTATTTCTAGTAACTAATTTTATTTATCCATTTATTTAACTGGGCTTATATGTGCTGCTCCTATTATGTCTAATTCCAAGCAGCTTACAGACCTCTAGAACAGTTAAAAGGTCATTTTGGAAGGAGGAGGACTGCTGTAGAACACTGATCCCTACTCCCAGCCTTCACAAATGATCCAGAAGGGATACCATGATCAGTGGTATTGAAAGCTACTGAAAGATCAAGCCAAAGCAAGTCATACTGTCCCTCTCCCAGTCCCACCACAGGTCATCCACAATGTTCAGGGTTCCGATAATACATTTTCCCACAGAGTTCTCTGCAACAACAGCCCACCACTCTCTCGACAATGGCAAAAGGGGATGGCTTCTTGAGGAAGAAATTCACTACTTCCTCCTTCAGCAGGGAGCAGAGTATTCATCAGCACCCAACCTTAGTCTTCTGTTATCTCCCTAGGAGCTTACACCAATGATAGCCAGGAAGGGGAGGGAACCAAGCTACTGGTGCCACAGCTGACATCACAGAGAATTCTTTCTACTTCCTTGAGACCAGCTGGCAGAAATGCATCCCGGATAACTTTGCTAGATGTGGCTTCAATCACCTCACTAGGACCTTTTCAGCTTAGAGGGAATCCAAGCAATTTTATCCTCTAGATGTCCCACAAATTCTTCACAGCAGTCAAGCATACGCTAAGAGTGGAGAAATATTGTTGTTTCAGAGTTACCACCACAATAATAAGCTCAAACCTGAACTCTCACCATGTTCAATTTGATCAGCTCCTTGTCTTTCATTAGCAGCATTCCAGTCATCTTCTCCACTGGTATAATCCTGTTCAAGGCCATTGCCACCTTCACAGTCAAGGATAATAACTAAAGCCTCATTAGGACTGCCTCTGGAAAAAACCCAAATGCCTGGAATGGATCAATCAAACAGGTCCATCCTCCTTGCAGAGATTGGTAGCAACAGTCAAGACCATAGTGATCAAAAAGTGATCTGACTATGACAAAGGACAGATGTTAATATCCCTCACCTTCAACTCACGTTGCATCTGCTCTGAGATGAAAATCAGATGCAATGCATGTGTGACTTCTAATGTGTTGGGTACCTGATGACATGGGCCAACTACATGGTTGTCATGGAGGCCATGAACTCATGAGCTGCCTCTGATGCCTGCCCAAGGGAAAGCAGGTTGAAGTCCAACAGCTCCATTAACCTACAGAACTCTACTGCAAACCCTGAGATGAACTTCAGCAGCTCCAGCAAGCGGGGAAGCTACAACAGTGGTGATCCCAGGTTGCCTTTAGAGCCCAACTAAAACAACCTCACATCCAGATATCTGCAGAGCAGGGCCTCTACTTCCAAGTGCTCAGTTCCCCTTCCCCAAAGGCAGCCTGTCCCTCCTCCTAATGCATATTTGAAAACCACCTGTTTTTCTAACACCTTTAGTACATAATGCTTGCATAATTTGTTCACTCACCCAAGTATTTAAATATTTTTCTCATCATTTTTTTTTAGGCATTCATCTGTCAATCTGCTTCCAAGCATTAAACAAGCTAAAAAGTGAGCAGTAAGATCCTTCAGAATTATTAGCTTAGTCTTTTTCCTTACAATGTTTGCCCACATCCTGTTTCCTTTTAAATGGGTGGACTTCAGCTATGGAACCATTTACTAAATGTACTTTTAAAAGCACGAAATTCTTTGGTAATGGATATAATTATCCAGCTGCTTTGAGAAGCAAACTTCAAAAATGGCTTTTTAGAGGAATCACTCTTCAATTAGGCTTTTTTCATCACCAATCTTACTGTAGTGAAAAAAGGAAGTTATACTGAACCCACACTCAAATTTTAGCAACTCAGTTTTGCCCACAAAGTGAAATAGAGTTAGATAATTTGATTTATGAAGGGCATTACATTAGAACTCAGCCCATGAGGATTAGTGATGAATATCCCAAGACAAATAAGTTAAATAAATAATACTGAGAAAAGAGAAGTATCTTCTTGAAGCAAAGCAGGGAGTCACATTAATATTTGCTCTATGTGTGTGATCTCAGCCACAAATTGTATTAATAGTTATTAAATTGAAATCTTAGTAAAATATAAAACATAAAAAACCTGCTTCAGGTAGTTTATGGTTGTGTATTACACTGATTAAGTGCATGTACGTTTATGTGTATGCATGAGCGTGGGGATGTGTGTTTTTTCATGACAGCAATAACAGAAGTATATTACTTACCAAAGAATAAGGTTTTCAAATACTGTATGTGTTGCTAGACAGAACACAAATATAAAGAGTATGAAAAAACACAGTATTCCCTATTGAAAGCAGGATTCCATTAAATCCCAACATTTCATTCTGTAACAAAATAAAGTTAAAAGATATCACGAACTGTAATAACAAAAGAAAAGGCTAGCTTCTGATCCATCCTAAACAAATACATATGTCACATTATTCCAGTATGATGGAATAATGTGATTTTATAAATAACAATTCACCATTTTTAAGTTATGCTTGTAAGAATTCCTATTTTACCGCTCTACAGTATAACATTTTTAATCTGTAATATAAGAATTTGTATCCAAAGAATAAAAAACCAAGAGTGAGTCAAAATCGAAAGATTTCAAAATATAAAAGTCGCTCAATAGACATAGATAATCACAATATTCCCAGATTCCCAGTATTATCTACATCAAATAATTAAGAATTCATTTGAAAACAAACAAGGTCAAAAACCTATACAGGTTATTAGATGTGGCACTCAAATTGTGAAAGGACCCTTACTGCACAGAAAATAAATTGAATTACTAAGAAGTACCAATATATCATCTTAAGAGGTCACCAAGAGTCTAATATAAGATCAAAACAAATGATTGCCAATTATGAAGCAACTGTTTTGAGGAAAATAAAACCATCCAAAAGGACAAGTGACAAAAGGCATTTGAACTCAATAGCCATTTACTGAGCGCAGATTTGAGGGGGAAACTAGCAACAACATTAACTTATCTTTGCATTTTAGTTTAGATCAAAAGGTTATATGGACATGTACTTCACTACATATGCAATCTGCACACTCAGCTCCTAGTAAACCAAAGGTGAAGGGAAAGTGATGCTTAAAAGCCACAGCAACAACCACGGATCAATAAAGCCTATGCTCTGAGTACTGATAAAACTTATGAAGTATACTTCATTGGTGAGGGGGTGCTAATTAAAAATACATTTATAAATTTAAGTAATAACTATTTATCAGGCCCAATTAATTCTACTTATTCGAGAAATAAAAATGCACTAACATTACAAAAAGTTGAAGCTGTCAGCTTGTTAAAATGTCTCTGATGCAAGTGGGTAGGGATAGATTTATACCCCATGTCAAACCAGAACAGCATATAGTATCATACTCTGCACACAGTATCTTATTTCCTGGAGTGAAATGGAGACCTATTCATGTAATTCTTCTTCTAACATGAAGAATTACATGAAAAAGGAATTGGTTTCTCACTATATCTTGCAGAACCGTTTGTATTTTAGACACACAGAAATATACAATTATGATCCAGGCTAAAGAAGAACACTGGTGCAATACTAAGTTTTGTGTTTTTATTATTTATTAAGAGTAATTACTATCTACTGAAAATAATTTAGCTGGGCAGTAAAGAAAAAAATAAAAACCCCAATACAGCAAATATCATTACAACAGAAACAGATCAGAGAGGCATCAATTTGTTCATATATTCAAAATATAATAATATGAAACTGAATTATTGTGATTGTCCATTCAAGCAACCAATTGGGTTTAGATCAAATAAAGGGTCTTTTTTCATACTAGTTTTAAAAACAGAAGAAAACAAACTGACCTAAATTATTTTGCTACAGGATTTTCTTCCTTATTTGCACCATCTCTCGAATCAACAGCACTGAGTCATGTTAGTATAATGAGCACATTGACCTGCCTTGCTTGGTTCACCAGGATAAGGTAGGCTTCTGAAAAATTAAAAAAAAAATAAATATTATTTTCTAATTCAGGCAATTCTCCAAATAAGTGCTCCTTGAATTCTAGTCCATATAATGGCTTTGACTGACAACAATATGTCTCCCTAAAAGCAATTTTTTAAAAAAGGCAATTCTGCTAATAACCAGTTAACTAACTACCCAAGGAAGCATTCCTGTCAGTTATACTGAAAGCAATTATTCTTCTTGGTCCTTAGAATACATGATATCAGGAAGAGAAATTTTGGACTCTTCTCAAGGATCTTCTGTTAGAATATATTTTGCATATGCTTCCATTATAAAGTAACTGTGAGATAGAAAATATTTTTTCAAATATTAGCTAAATACTAGCTCGGTTGTAAGGTCACTGTACATCCACAACTTCCTGTGCATTCATGACATGAGTAATCTTGGAGGGATTATGTAGTGTCAAAGGACTGGAGAGAGGCAAATGTTGTTGTTCTTTCAAAGGTGGGGAGGGAGAACCCATGTAACTACCACATCACTACTGGGTAAAATTCTGAAACAGATTGATAGGAAATTAGTTCATAAACATTTAGCAAAGGATAAGTCATGGGGAATCTACCTGCCCTCCTTTTCTGATAGTGGAATTAGTTTAGTAGACCACAGGAATGCAGTGGACACAGTGTACCTTGACTTCAGCAAAGCATATAACAAAAATCTCTACCGAACTTCTATTAGAAAGATGGAAAATGTGAGCTGGATTTTGCTACCCTTTGATGGCTACACAGTTGGTTGAATATTCATCCTAATTAGCGTGTGCCAATGCCTCCACATTAAGCTGGAATTGTCAAATGGTGTTCAGCAGGTCTCCATTCTAGGCCTTGCATTTTTCCACACATAAATGACTTGGATGAGGGATTAGAAAAAGCTGTCAGTGGCAAAAATATAAGAGAGCTAGCTAATACCTTAGAGGACTGTATCAAGATTTAGGAGGACAAGCTGGAATAATGTGCAGAAACCAGCAAGATTAATTTCAACACAAGCAAATACATTGTCCTACATTTGGACAGAAAAAAATCAAAGGCATGGATATAAAATGGGAGGGGGGGGGCACGCTGGAAAACACTGCATGTGAAAAGGATTTGAGTATCTTGGTGGATCACAAGCTGAACATGAGCCAATAGTGTGATGTATTTACAAAATGCAATGCTAAGAACATCAACAGAAATATAACATCAAGGACAAGAGAAGTAATTGTTCTTTATTTTGCACTGGTCAAACCACAGCTGGAGTATTACATCCAGTTCAGGGCACCACATTTTAAGGAAGACACTAACAAACTGCATCATGCCCAGAGGAGAGCAACCAACATGATAAAGGACCTGGAAGGAAACAGTGATGAAGAACAGTTGAGAGGTGTTGGCTATATTTAGCTTCCCTGAGTGAACACTGTGATGAGACATGTGGCTGTCTTCAAATACAAGTAGTCCTTGGCTTACAATGGCAATTGGGACCAGAATTGCCATCGCTAAGTGATGCAGTCATAAAGTGTGACATCATGTGACAGTGCCGCTTAATGATGGCAATTCTGGCAGTCCCTGTGACTTCCGAATTCCTGCCGGCTTTCCTATTGACTTTGCTTGTGGGAAGCCGGCAGAGAACATCAGAAATCACAATCATGTGACCGCAGCTTGTGCAACATTGTAATTGCGAACCAGGCACCAAGCACCTGGATTACAATCAGGTGACCACGGGGATGCTGCGATGGACGGAATTTTGAGGACCAGTCATAAGTACCACTCATTCAGTGCCGTTGTAACTTTGAAAGGTTGTTGAAGGAATGGTCATAAGCTGAGGACTTCAGTTAGATGTCTTGAAACCATTTCTATTATTACGAGCTGTTCAACAATGGAACAGGATGCCTTAGGAGGTGGTGGACTTTTTTCATTTTTTCTGGTCATATTTAAATAGAGGCTGGATGGTCATCTGTCAAGGTTGCTATATCTCAGGATTCCTGCACTGGGCATGTGGTTGGACTATGCAATCTCCAAAGCCCTTTTCAACCCTTACACTCTATGAACAAGCTGACAGCAGTGAACAAGAACAAAATAAATATGGTGATTATTTCACTCACTCATGTGTTCTCTTTCTCCCCAGAGTCTCAGTTCAGCTAAGGCTGATGGACATAATAAAGAAGGCAAGGAAGCTTCCCCCCAACCCAAATCAAACCAAACCAAATAAGCGTATAATGTCCAATAAAAATAATCATCTTGGTAAGAAGTGCAGCATTCCTGACTGGAGACCTCACTGCTTCCCACAAAATGTCATATGTGATTCACAGAAGTACAGTCAGGTCCAGAAATATTGGGACATCGACACAATTCTAACATCTTTGGCTCT